AATTGAGACAGAGATATTTTCTTTAAATGGGTAAAAGTAATATTACCATTGTTTACTGTCATTTGATATTAAATATTTTTAGAAATTCAACTGATACAGCCTACCAAAAATGTTATTTTATACATTTTGTTAGCAACTACAACTTAACTGAAATTTTCACTCTCTGTGTTAATATTTACATATAATTTTGTTTCTCATAAATTTCTCTTAAGAGAATCCAGTTGCTGTAATATGTTCTAGAACTAAATAACATTTTACTAAACGTACTTGGCTGTTTAATCACATAATTTTGATTTTTTTTGAAAAATAGTCATAAATTTTTCTTTCATGAACAAACCAAAAAGTAAGGGCATAGTATGTAAGAAGAAAACATTTTAGTCCTAGGTAGTTAATGTGGACTAATTTATCTTCTATATCAAATTGCTGACTTCCAAGGAGTGACCTACATAGAATGGGAAAACTGATTCTTGACCCTGTTTTGCCCACTGCCCAGGGAATGTCAGGGGGATGAGAGCTACAAAGAACTGACCGTCGGCCTAAGGAAACATCTGGGGCCAGGTGATAAAAGTCTGTGACTTGAAGAGAGCCACATAGCAGATATATCAGTAGTTTCTTTTTTTCTTTTTTACCCCCAGAAATCAGTCAATTTAAGAGAGGTTTTTGGAACTGCTTTAGAAGATATTTATACAAATGCTGAGGTTTCTCTCAATTTTCCACACAATGTGCTGCTTAATTCTTATAAATTCCAAAGTTCTTTTAAAGCTTATAATTCGGAATAGACTTTATCGTATATCAAGATGCTTTATCAACATCATTTAACATATATCTTACATGCTTTGGAATTTTTATAGACCACAGAAATTTTTGGGTTTTTTTTCTTACTTAATACACCCTAAAAGGACACAATCTGCCAGACCACAGGACATCCGTAATTTAGAGCAGCAGATGTTGCTACACATGCTTCTCTTTAAAACCAAGAAGCACAAGAGAAAATAAAACCAAAAGTTCAAAACAGAAGAGAAAAAGAGATGAGGGAGTTTAGTAGCCAAAAGCTGTTGGTTAAATTAATGAAGAGGGAGGATGTGGCCATCAGAACTATATGTTTTGTATATTTCTTTGTTTTACTTTGCAAGTCATTCTCATTCTACTACCTCAGAGTCATTAATTTTCTACTAATGTCAAATTTATTTTCCATAAAACTCGACTTCAGTTAAACTGAAGCAGAAAGTATTTTATGTCCACTGTAATGTCTGATCATTTCAAGTTTCATATGACAATTAGCTACAATGTGCTGTGCCATGTTTGTTGGGTTTTTTTGTAGAGTTGGCTAATGTTTTCATCTTGGTTTTAACTCTAGCTGATCCCACAGTGAAGGACTTAATCGGAGGCTTCACTGCTCTTCATTATGCAGCCATGCATGGCCGGGCCCGAATTGCACGCTTGATGTTAGAGTCTGAGTACAGGAGTGACATCATTAATGCCAAAAGCAATGATGGCTGGACTCCCCTCCATGTGGCTGCTCACTACGGAAGGGACTCATTCGTCCGACTCCTGTTGGAGTTCAAGGCTGAGGTCGATCCACTCAGTGACAAAGGTACAACACCGCTTCAGCTAGCCATTATCCGAGAGAGGTCAAGCTGTGTGAAAATCCTCCTGGACCACAATGCCAATATCGATATTCAGAATGGTTTCCTGTTACGTTACGCTGTGATCAAAAGCAACCACTCTTATTGTCGAATGTTCCTTCAGCGAGGAGCAGACACAAACTTGGGTCGCTTAGAAGATGGACAGACTCCTTTACACTTGTCTGCCCTTAGGGATGATGTGCTTTGTGCACGGATGTTATATAATTATGGAGCGGACACGAACACAAGGAACTATGAAGGACAGACCCCACTGGCTGTTTCAATAAGTATTTCTGGAAGTAGTCGACCATGTTTGGATTTCTTACAAGAAGTAACAAGTATGTAATATAATTATTACTATTATTGCATCTTTTTTGTTTTTATTTTTGATTTGCATCTTTTAAAACACTTAAGGTGTTTTTATAACTTAAAATGACTAGGTGTTAATCATTCATATAAGCCCTGTATGGTAAGTAATGTATCATTTGTCTGAATAAATAGAAAATTGTACTGTATCACAAAATTTCATAAAAAATCAATTGTTTTACTAAAAGAAGTAAAGGTAGACAATAAGGGTGAGAGAAGAAATGAAAAAAAGGACAGAGAGTAGAGAATTTTTTAAATTAATAGAAATCTGTGTTAAAAGGTAGCAATTCCTGCTGGTCATAAGGATAATCTTTGCAGGGTTACATGGACTTCATATTTAGGAAACAGAAGGGGAAGTTTGGGATATAGATTCTTTAACTATGGATATGTCCTAGAATTTGTGCTTTTTGTGATGCTGTTGTTCACATTTTCTTTTGGCTTTTCTGCTTCATTATGATATAGACCCACATGAAATAGAATAGCAGTGTTTTCACTTAAGTGTCCCAGTAATGGAGGTTAAAGATCCTAGGAAAAGCAGTTAAGAAGATTTGCTCTCAGTGTCAATTTAGGCACTGCTGTCTCTGGGCCATAGGGAGTCCCTTGTATCTGATCTGTTTTTGTGTGGGTTCTTTCTTAAGAGTCTAGAAATGTCTGACACACCTAGTACAGAAGTGTTTGCGCTGTTTTCTGATAGGGATGATTTGTTTGTACGGACATAGATGCCCTCTCATGACAGTCTTCCTTATGACCACTCAAGTACGTGTTCCAGAGCTTAATGTCCCACATGTCTATAAACAAATGTTTGATTTTGCTTTGCTGTACTATCTAATGAAAGAAATATAGAAAATTAATATTAACATTCTAGATGCCAGGTAGTGGAGTCCAAGCAGTTTTCTTGACCTGCCTATAAATAAACCACTGTCCCTCATGGAACTGAATTTTGGAGTAAACACTTGCTTTACAAAGTAACAAAGTATCATTTGAATTTTTTGTATTCATATGGGGAAAAGATGAAATTATTGCCATGAAATGTTCAGATTAAAGCATGGAGAGAAATGACACCCAAGGTCTAACTCAATGTCCAGTGACACCTCCTGTGATGATAGAAATGGCCTCTATCCACACTTTTTAATATGGGATCTAGTCGCCCAATGTGGCTATCAATATTTTGATATGTGTCTCAAATGACTGAGGAATGGAATTTTTAATTTTATTTAACTGTAATCAGTATAAATTTAAATAACTACAAGTGACAATTATTAGATAGTAACACAGATCTCTCTGTCTTGGGCCATCTGGTAGGTGGCCCTTGCAGAGAGCGTTTGACTCACATAGAAATAGCCAAATATGGCAGGATGTGTATGTGGTACTGCCTACTCTGACTTATATCCTGGAGTATTTAGGAAAAGAATGACATGAAATTGCAAATGCAACACATTTTCCAGCAGTCTTCACTTACAGCAGTGGTAGAGATGTAGGTGTTGTAAAAGATAAGATTACTCTTGAACTTGAGGCTAAGTTATGGAATATATCCTGTAAAGTATATTTTGCTCTTTATAAATTCTGGACATCTTGTGCTGTTGCTCTTTTGTCTTCTGTAGTAGAGACTCTTGGTTAAATTAGGGTGACTGCCTTCAGGAAGGCATATTTATGTACATAAATGTCTTGGCCCCTCCTTTTTTTTCTTAATTGTGATTTGGGTGAAAATTTACAGAGCAAATTCACTTTCCATACAGCAATTCACATACGCTTTGTCTCATGACATTGACTATAATTTACTTCAATGTAACAGCTCCCCTCCCACTTCCTCCCAACAGTTACCTCTTCTCTGTGTCCATCCCTCCATGCACTCCTGCCCCCTGAGCTGTCTCCCTGTGCATAAACAGCCCTTCTTTCTCCCATGATTGTTTTCTCCAAGGAGTGTATCTACCTCAGGTAAATGTTCAACTCATATGTTTGTCTTTTGTTTGGCTGGAAGCCACAGGCATGGGTTCAATTCCAGACCTGAAGGGCAGCTAGGGGCCACAGTCTCAGTGGTTCTACCAGGCTCTTTTAGACCAGCAAACCTGGTCCCCCCCACCCTTTTTTTTTTTTGTCCAAATGATTTTGAGTTTTGTTCCACATTGTTCTCCCTCTCTATTCAGGATCTCCTACATAGACCCCCCTCCAAGTTGTTGACAGTGGTAGCCGGGCACCATTCTTGGCCCCCTTTTGATAAATATTTTGCTCGGTAGTTAACAGCATGGATTAGAGTTGCACTGCCCAAGTTCAAATACTAAACCACATACTAGCTGTGGCCTTGAGCGTGTAACCTAACCTGTCTGTGTGTCAGTGTCATTATCTTAAGATTAAGAAAGTAATATTTATTTGTAGGTTTGTTATAATGATTAGATGAGTTGATATTTATAATGCACTTGGAATCCTGCTTGGCACATTTTAAGTACTATATAAATATTTCTTAAAATATTTCACTAATAAAATGACAGTGGATCAACAGCAAGGGCTGCAGTGCTCCCAGCAGAATGAATCTTTCAGACTCATATTTTCAGACTCAGCCACAATTCATATTTTCCGTCCTATACTCTGTTCTCCAGAGTTTGCAGTGTGGAGACACATGGCCAGTTGGATAGGAAGACAACCAAATATAAAAAGTGAAAGCATGTAGGCAGTGCCCCCTTTTTTCCCTGATCACTCGGAGCTGCTGAGTTCTACCACAGCAGTGTTGCAGGACAGCTGGAATTCACATGTTCCCTGAAGATTAGAGACAGATAGAAAACTCAACAGGGTGGCCTCTTTGTGTGTGTGTTCTCCACTGCACATAGAAATGAGCCTGTCACCTTAGGAGGTCCTTCGTAAATGGTGGTCTGTTGGTTGACTGCAAATGCAAAGGGTGGTGACTTTGTAAACATTTTTCAGAAGTTAGCGACCATCTGTCTTTTTAAGGCTGAAGTTATCCTTTAAGTGCCACAACATCATCCATTACTTCTAACTCTCTCATGTCGATTCCTGCCAAAAGCAAATTGAGTGTTTCTGCTTCACCTGTGCATTATTTGCCTAGTGAATAGACTTTTTTACCTAGTGAAGAATGATTACCTGCTAGAAGGCCCAACTGTAGCTGATGCTCTCTCTGGAAACCAGAGTTAATGAAAGGTAGATTGGGGAACCTTAAGTCTATTCTGCAGGCTCCTTCCAGTCTCCAAAGCAGCTGAACACCACAGCTCCATTATAAATTGGCTTATAATCTGAGAACTAAGGCTCTTGAGGGATAGGGACAGTTTCTCCTTGGTGATGTTTGTTCAGGACCACTTTGTGTTCATTGCACCATTTTGACTAGAAACATATAGTTTAAATTGGAAGAGATTAAGAAAATCATAATCTTTTTGAAAAATGTACCATAGAAACGTAGAAGGTAAATGTCCCAGAGGAACAATGCATACAAACAGAGCAGATCAAATGTCTTGGTAATAAAGTCGTGTCTGTTGGTGTCTTGCTGATAACGAGCGGCAGGAGAAGACACCAAGAGCTGCTGTTATCATCCCCTATAGCCAGACTGAGTTTTTAACATTCAGGCTTCCAAAAACCTGCACCTTCTGGAATGGTTTGAACTCAATGTAGCCTCTTCCAGAAAGCAGAGAGTGAAGGAAAAACTTCTTTGTGTCCAGGAACAATAACAGCTAAGAAGAACCAAAAATGAATAATGAAGATTTCCTTACAGAAAGAAAGATTTTTTTTTACTGATTGGTGGTGTTTTTGAGGCCACTTTTTTGTTTTCTTTCCTTTATTTTTTGGCTTGAAAGCAAAAATAAGAGAGTAGAACAAATAAATTAGGAGGAAAACAGAATAATGAAGGAGCGACCAGTCATAAGTAGAAGCTGTAATAAGGACAGAGAGCACCAGTCATTCTGATGGAGGTCTGTTCAGTGCTGAGGCCTCTGGGGTCAGTTTTTGCACCAGAGCCAGGACTAGAAAAGGCAAGCAAGGTCCTTAGAGTGCAGTATTTAAAGAGGTAGTCACTCAGGGTCATGAAGGTGGCAACACTGCACTTGTACAACACTGAGAATGAGGGCCTCCTTAAGTTGTGTACCCTAGATACCTCACTTGCCTCGTCCTAGTTCTGGCCCTGCCCTGCGCTATGTTTCTATAAATTGTATGAAGGCATCAATGTGAAAATCTAAATTCAAACCATATTAATAAATCTTAGTGCTGTGCATTTTTCTGTCTATATCACTCTAGTAGAATAAGTTGTATGATACTGTTTGCACAAATACTACATAGAAGCTCTCATGAGATGGCATAAAATTCTCCAGCCAAAAGTAAAGAGCAGAATATTAGCTCAGTTCAAACGAGAAAAGTATCATTCATGCATAAGAAAAGGACAGGCACAAGAAAATGTTGTTAAAAAGGTACAACGTTATAACTTCATGGAAGAGTATTTCAGAATCAAAGCTCAACCTGAGGATGTGGTTAGCTAATAATAGAATGCACCCTGAAAAATTAAATTATTACTGATTGTTTTCATTATATCCTTGACCCAGAAAATAAACTTCCCAAGTCAATGTATCCAAGGGTTATTTAGAATATTAGATCTTTTTTTAAAAAAGAGAAATTCCATGAGAAAACTGAACCATCAGGCAGTGACTTGTGAAAACTTCTAATTTATTTACAAAAGAAAAAACATGTTATGTTAATGATCTGCATGCAAGGATCTGCTAATGGGCTCTGGACCCAGTGCCTGATTTGTTTTACAAAAATGGGAAAGCTACTCATGGATCTGTGGTTCCTCTTCTCAAAAATGGAAAAAGTGGACTATAGCCCATGAGGGTGAAAATAAGATGAGGGTTGCATTTGAAAGTTTTACCAGGAACTACTCTTAAACTACTCTTTCTTGCTGCCTGTGGGATTTTTTTCTTTTCTTTTCTTTTTTTTTTTTTAATTCATGTAGAATACTGAGCTGAAATGGACTGGTTTTGGC